ACAATTCATTATGCACACATTGTCCGACAATTTGTTTTTATTTTTTAGTAATGGGTTTTCCATTTTATACAGGAAAAAAATGAGGACCTACAGCTTATGCCAGGCCATAGTTAGAAAAGTGAGGAACTGGGATTTGAATCCAAAGAACTTAATTTTGGATATTTTCTGTAAGCAACTACATTATAATTTTAAATGGCTAAATAATATTATGTTGAACAGATTCACCAAAAGGGTTTAATCAATTTCTTAAGTTGGAAACACATTTTCTAAGGTTTGCTATTACTCAGTGCACTGCAGTGATCATTCTTAAACATATATCCTTAAGTATCTATTGAAGTTTTTAAGACAAAAAGTTTCAAAATGTAATTAAGTAGCTTGCTGTTGACACATTTTCCAACTGTCCTTTAATTTCCTCTAACAGCAATATATAAGAGTGGGCTTTTTTTCACTCCTTTGAAAACACTGGATATTATTATTCTTTAAACTTTTGCCAGTTAGGTGAAAAATGGATTTTAATGTCTTAGTCATTTTCTGTTTATGAATGGAGCAGAGTATTTTCCAGACTCATTAGCCACTTGTATTTCTTTTTTTCTTAATTGCTTGTTTGTGTTCTGTGAATCTACTTTTTAATGTAAAATTTTTATTTAATTATAGTATGGACACACAAAGGAAACAAATTGTAAAAACAGAGTTCTATGAAGTTTCACAGGTAAAAACACACATAAGTGTATCAGGATTAAAAAAAAAAACCCAGAATGTGAATAATGCCTAGGAAGCCCATTTGTATACTTGCTTACATCCCAACTCCTTACACAAAAAGTTAACTGCTATGTTGAGCGTTCTTGACAGAGGCCATATTTATTCCTCAAAGGGGCAAAAATTGGTTCTTGGAGAGAGTATCTTACTCTATTTATGTATAAAGCATAGACATCTATGTGCTTCATGGATATAAAGTACATCTGTGACATTAACATTTAACGGGGGTAGGGTAAAATCAGGTGGAGAAATGTCACACTCTCCTGGATGCACAGTTTGTCTTTTCTGAACTTTATCAAAAGCTTGGCTCACAACTGGGTGTGGTGGGGCACACTTATTGTTGGCAATAATGGCGCCGATAGGTTTCAGTTCTTACTGCACCCTTAAGCTTTTGTTTCCCAGGGTCACGGTGCAGCCTCCCAGGGTCACAGTCCAGCTTTAAGTCTAGCTTGAACTCTCCTTCTGCCCCAACCTCCAATCAGCATGAACCATAAGATCCTAACCAATCAGATCATGCTGAGTCCCACTGAGGGGTATTTAAGCCCCTGCCCTTCTCTCCCTCTCTCTCTTGGCTCTCTGCTCTCTCCCTCTCCCACCCGGCAATAAAGAATCTCTTGGCCAGATCACTCCTCTCCACGTGGTCATTTTGGGGCCTATATTTCCTTACACTTATAACCCCTATACAGGAAATTGTCTGAATCAGAATTGAGAAACCTCGAGGTTGTGGCTAGCAGTTGTGTTGGGTGTTAGCTACCTCCCTTCTAATACAGAGGAACATCTGTTTTCCTTTGACCAGGTGGCCCTTGTGGCAGCAAGTCAGCTTGGAGGTCATTTAAAAATGGACTCCTATACTCAAGAGGGCACGGTAAGAGGACCAGTTGGAAAAGATTAGAGGTCACTGAGAGTTGTAGAACTGAGTGAGGATTTGGTTATAACTGACAAGTCAGGGGGGAAAAAAAGTAGTTGTACATCCAGCAAACTGCAGGGTCATGTTCCTGATAGAGTCCTTAGATTGCACAAGTGTTTTGTATTTGAATTGTCCCAGTAGATTTCTTGAATTCATTTGTTCATTTGCTTACTAATCCATTCATTCATTCTTTTTCAATTTTATTTGTAGAGGTATTTTTGGTGGTAGCTGTTTTTGTCTTTTACATTTTAATCTCAAATGCATTTGTAATTTGTCTAGGGTGCCATTTACCTAGATGTAATAATATGTGACATAAGCATCTAACCTATTCCCTTATGTGATCAGCCAGTTATCCTAAAACTAACAATGAAATCACTGTCTTTTCCCAGTGGATCTGAAATACTATTCCTATCACATACAAATGAGTGTGCAGGGTTATGCCTGTTTCTAAACTTTCTGCTGAGGCCCACCCACCCCCACCCTGCCCATAAGTATCATTGTGATTGTGTTCAGTTTATACATTCATTTGGAGAAAAATTGATAGAATTTACTAAATACCTACTATGACATCTTCTTCAAGGATATAGTAAGTATCTTGTTTTTTCTCATGCTTTCTTTTTATTCCTCTGGTGTTGGTTGCCTAGTTTACTAGCTTTAATCTTTACTGTTTAGTAAAGTAAGACTATATATTTTCCTCTGGGTACACAAGTAGCTGCATCCTATGGTATTCTCATAATTGTTAGTTCCTAGATATTATGAACTGTAATTTCTTCTTTGAGTCAAGAATCATTTAGGAAGAGATTTAAAACTTTGAAGTGACTTTTATAAGACTTTATTTCTATTTTTAAATTAATTTTTAGCTTTATTTCACTGTGATCTAAAGATATAACTCATATATGTTCTACATTTTGAAATTTAATTAGATTTTCTTTATTTATTATTTCTTATTATTTCAAAAGGTGAGGCACACATATACTATGTTTTAAGGTTCTATGGTCAATACTGCTACATGGGAGGCACAGGTAGGAAGATGGCTGTTCAAGGCAAGTATGTGAGACCCTATCCAAAAAATACTGACCTAATGCAAAAAGGACTTGTTGAACCACCATGCCCAGCTTTTTATTGGTCAAGATGGGGTCTTGCTGTTTGTTTGGGTTGGTCTTGAACTATCCTCCTGATCTCCACCTTCTGAGTAGCTAGGATTACAGCCATAGTGCCTGGCCTAAAATGTTTCAGATTTTTAAAATTCTTGATTTTCATTCCAAACTGTCATTTCACTCTGCCTCATATTCAAGATATAAAAAGTGACTATCTCCCCAGGTCCATTAGCCTAGAATGTTAAATTGACCCACAGTAGGCTAAAAACCTCCTTTAATTATGCATTCCACTATTTTTAGTTGTACTCTAAAATAAACCATGGGCATCATTTTGTATCAGTTCACATTTGTAGTTCTCACATGTCCAGAAATGGGTAAATCCCAGCTTTATTTTGGGCTTAGTTGTAACAAGCAGTTTGGCAAGCAACTTTCTCCTCTGGCTTTTCCTTTGCTGCTTCTTCCACTTGGGCACTGAAGGCTTGGTACTGGTGCTTATAAATGTCCTTTCTTTATGTGACCACTTCTTGATTGCTTATATTAAAGTTTTAGTTCTTTTTTCTGCCCCAAACTAGCAGGATTGGCTTCTCTTTCACAGGGTTGGCTCTTTCATTGTTTACTTGAAAATTGTTAAAACCCTAATCTTAGACCTTGACAGCTGAATGAATAGGCAAATATTAAAAGGTCAGTAATTCTGAGGTGTGATTAGGTGGAAAACAAACTTATGCTGTGGGCAGTACCAAATGAGAGCCTTCATTTCTGCCTAGATTCCTTGGGTTTTCAGACCCCACAGCATCAGGGACCCATGTTCCATGTCTAGCTTCTTGTGAGGCAAACCATGATCTGTGTCAAGCTACCTTCTTCCTTCAGCTTCTGCTAGCTGTGATGGAGGAGTGTTCTGTCTCACTGAGTGGGGGGGTCCATATCTAAAGTACTGTGTCTTCTGACTGGTCACTGACTGTCACCAGCACCAGAGGAAACATCCGAGTTAGTTACTGACTCTGTGCTTCTTATGACAGAAGTATTCTTTTCAGTCCCTTCTCCATCTCCAAATGGGGCATAATGGGTGTGACAGTCCTAAGAGGAGTAGGACCGAGACCCTGCTCCTCCAATTCACCAGTATCCTGTTTACATCTTTGGCATTTGTGCCCCCAGATAAAGATAAGATGTCTTTCTTAAGAAATCTAAGAAACCACTATTAACTCTGTAACTTTAGCTAAGTATTTGCTGAATGCTTGCATAAAAAATGTACTTTGCCCAATTTGAATTATTTGTTATACAAGTTTGAATAATTATTGATCATAAAGCCTATCTGCTGACAGTTACCTAAGAGGGGCATGTGATTCAGTACTCATTAATGGTAAATCCAATTTATCAGACTTGCCTCTGGTTCTTAGGTACACCTGGACTAACCTGGTGTCATGTGTCACTGTGAAAGGGAACCACAACAGTAGAGAAGCTGAGCTGGACTGGAACTTAGGGTAGATAATTAAGACATGGTGCCATGATCCTTCTCCAGAAGGTGGGAATAATAACAACCATGCTGCCTACAGCATGGGATTGTTTGAAGGAGTAAATGAGATGCTACATTAAAAAAATTTCCAGGAATTACAAAGCATCTTACGAGAGCAATCTTGCATAATTTTTTTCTCCCTGATGTGGATAGGAAGTGGAAGCTTCCCTCTCACAAATTTCACTCCTTTGTATAAGAAACAATATTTCTTTTCTAAAAGGTAAATAAATAGTCAGTCTGTGCCATCTTGTCTATTCATTCATTCATTCATTCATTCTTTCATCATTCATGCAACACGACATTCTACAAGGCTAATATCTCTCTGTAAGAAGCTCACATTTGAGTTGTAGAGAAAACCATATACAAATACAAAAGCAAGATTATTTTAATTAGTGATGAATGTCATTAAAAATGAGGAAACACCAGTATCATAAAAAAGAAAAGAAAAATGGGAAAAGGAACAGAAAAAAGATTTGCTTGTGTTTTAGAAGTGTGGTCAGGAAAGACCCATTTCAACTATTCAGGAAGATTAAATATGTAAATTAAAAAACTACCTGGCAACATCATAGTGCATTAAATTTTCAAAAAAGACTTTTATATCACTTTTTCTTTCTCAATTTTATGATAGCTACTTGAGGCACACAGCTTAGATATAATATGGATTTGAGAAGTAACTGCAAGGGATCTGAGAACCAACTGAAGAAAATGCCAAGTTAGTCAATGTACATACCCATTTCATGTCGGGTGCTGGCCACTCCTACACCGTATGTTTCTAAAACATCCTTTACTGTCCTCATAGACTCATTGTACTTGACTGTGAGGCCAAGGAAGTTGTAGGAGCCCATGTTGATGACATCTTTGATGACTCTTCCAGTAAACCTGCAGAGAGACATGTAATTGAACACAAAAGGCTGTCTGTCTTCTTTAATACCATTCTAGGGCCAAGACACCTCAGTTCTAGCCCAAGTCATATGTTTTCTTTTTCTTTTCAACTTACATTGTTATCAGTACAAAATGGTTTATTGTTAGATGAAAGTAACCCCATAATGAATTGGATCAGAGCACTGGAGAATGATAACTACTTAGCACTGATATTCCTTGAGTAATTGCTTTCATGACACCCATGCTCTGGTTTAAAGTCCCACAAGGACCTTCTAAAGGAACATTGTCATCATTGTCTCCATCAGCAAGAAAGAAGGAGGGTACAATTTGTCAAGAGAGTTGAGAAAGACTCTTCAAACTTGGTTCTGTGTGTACTGAACCTTTTGACAGAGGGATTACTTTAATTACTATATAAACAAACCATCTTGGCAACTTAATTACTGTGACTTCCTCCTGGCCTCATGACAACCTGCAAAGGACTGAATGGTAGGAGTCCAGCCTCTTCTATGCCTTGGGTTCTTCAGATCTGTAATCTGATGACCATGTTAGAATTTACTTGAAATGTTATTTTTTTCCTACCAAGCCCCTCCAGGTGGTTGCCTCACCTAAATGTCCAGTTATAGTCATCTGATACCCTCTCCAATAGATCGAAATAAGATGCTGGGGCACTGCAAATGGGTCGGTTCCAGTTGTCTCTGATTCGCATGTAAAGGTTCCTTGTAAAAAAATTCTCAAAGTCTTGATACAGTGGCACAAAATCCTGTTAAAACAGAGATAGAAGGTTAACTTTGGTCTCTGTTGGTTTATGTTTTTGCATTTTATTTACAATTGAAGGCTGGGAGAAGACTTGGAAGATCCCTGCAAATAATCCGTCTACAGATAATTCTTGAGCAGGTCAATAGGTGAAGGAACAGGTCAGGCTCACAAATAAAAGTGTGAGGCCTCCACTTCTAAAGAACCCATTCCTTAGTAGGAGTGATTATAAAAAGTGATAAAGGTAATAAAGATACAGTACTAAACAACCTGTAGACCAATTGGCAAAACTGCTATTGGCAGTTTCAAATGGCTGAGGGCCTGAAAACTAAGCTGATCAACTGTGGAGACACAAGACTTCATTTGTAGCATAGGTAGAAAGCACCGTGCTCCTATGTAAAATGCAATCCATAAATTGAGGGGCCTGCAATCCAGCTGAGGCTCAAAGGAAGACAACATCTAATTCTATCATTTGACTTGTAATAGTTAATGCTAAGCAGAAAATGCAAACCTTGTACCTGTGGCCTAAACCAAGTACTTTGGCATTCATAAGATTAGAACAGGAAGGAGAGTCACAGCTTGCTGGAGGAATTAGGAAGTCTTTATGTGGGAGGGACTGGTAGAGGTGGCACTAAGGTAGAATGAGGCTATTATGGACGGGGTTGCTTGGGAAGGGTGCTGAGGGTGTATGGGTTTGTTTTTGAGCATGAATAAGAATAACACATCAGGCTTTGCTCATTGCTCAGAGCCTATATTGGCTCCCACCTTCAAGTCAAAGCCAAGGGCCTGATTCATCTGACTTCTAGTTACTTCTCTTATCCGGTCCCCTAACTACTTCCTGCAGTGTGGAAGAAGCTATAATGTCATCTGGGCAAAGAGGGTAGGAGACTAATCAGCTGTGTGAGGAGTTTAGTCTTTATTCTGTAGGTCATGGAGAGACACTTAATAATTGGGGGAGAGATTTCTCATTGTCCCTCTGATCCTCTTTGAGCAATTTGCTTTCCTTTTCCTTATGAAATAGAGCTAATCTCCTGGAACAATGAGGATTGTGAGAAAGCCTTTGTAGGTGATCTTCTTATGCACTGATTTTTACACCTATTCACTGAGTTGGTCCATTCCAGAGGAAAATGTAGAGAATATGCAGGTGTTGATGGCAGGTGCTTGCATCTAAGTCACAGCCCTTTCTATTACTACACCCTTGGGTGCTCAGCAACAATGATAAGATTACTGTGGGGAAAATTATGATTTTTCTATAGGAAAGAATGTTCATAATTTGAATAGCTTAAGTAATTCTGAGTAAAAAAAGCAACACTGGAGGTATCACAATACCTGACTTCAAACTATACTACAGAGCCAAAGAAATAAAAGCAGCATGGTACTGGCACAAAAACAGACAAGAAGACTAATGGAACAGAATAGAAGACGCAGACACAAATCTACAGAGTGACAGCCATTTGGTTTTTCACAAAGGAATCCAAAACATGCTTTGGAGAAAATAAAGCCTCTTCAACAAATAGTGCTGGAAGAACTGGAGATCTGCCTGTAGAAGATTGAAACTAGATCCCGGTCTCTCTTCTTGTATGAGTGTCAATTCAAAGTGGATCAAGTATCTTAATGTTAGACCTGAAACTGTGCAACTACCACAGGAAAGAATAGGGAATATACCAGAACATACAGGCATAGGTAATAACTTCATGAATAGAACTCCAAATGCTCAGTTATTAAGAGAAAGGACCAACAAATGGTCTACATTAAATTAAAAAGCTTCTGCACAGCAAAAGCTGAAGTGATAGCTTACAGAATGGGAGAAAATCTTTCCCAGATATATATCTGAAAAGGGACTAATAACCAGAATATACAGGGATATAAAAACTTAACCCCACAAAGAACCAACAACTCATTGAATAAATGGGCAAATGAACTGCATATACAATTCTTAAAAGAAGAAGTACAATGGCCAATAGATACATGAAGAAATGTTCAATATCCTTGGCAAATTAAATAACATTGAGATTTCACTTCATTCCTGTCAGAATGGCTACCATTAATAACACAAACAACAACAAATACTGGTGAGAATGTCAGAAAAAGAAATGCCTATACACTGTTGATGGAAATGTAAATTAGTACAACCACTATGGAGAGCAGAATGGAGCATCCTCAAAAAAACTAAAAACAGACCTACTATATGATCCAGTGATATCACTCCTGGGCATATATCTGAAGGAATATAAGCCAAGACAATAGAGCCACTTGCACATTCATGTTTATTGTACCTTTGGAAACAGCCCAAATGCTCCACAAATGATGAATGGATTAAGAAAACATACATGCATACACACACACACACACACACACACACACACACACACACACACATACAATGGAGTATTATTTATCCATAAAGAGAATGAAATTATGTTGTTTTCAGGTAAATGGATGGAACTGGAGATCATCGTGTTAACTGAAGTAAGCCAGGCTCAGGACAAAGGTCACATATTTTTCCTCCTATGTGGAAGCTAGAAGCTATAAGACAAATGAATCCACAAACACATATATAGTCATATATGTATAGAGGGAGAGAGAGAGAACATGATTGCAATAGTGGGTCTGTTTGAAGGGACTATGGGGAGGTGGAAGAGGAGAAAAGAATGATAGAGAGTGAATAATATTGAAATATATTGTATCTGTATATGAAGATATCATGATGAAATACACTGAAAGCTGTTAAATAACAGGGAAGGAGGGTAATAAAGAGTTAGTAATGGGAGGGGATTAATCTGATCAAGGTAAGATATATACCAAGGTGAAATCCCCTTGAACAATCAATATACACCTAAAAAGTGGAGTACAGGAAGGTAAAACAGGTCCTGCCCAGAAATGGGTACCAATGAGAGTAAATGAAGAGGGTGAAGGAGGACAAATATGCTTTGTGTACCTTGTATATGTGTATGAAAGTAGAGCAATGAAACTTGCTGAAATTATTCTACAAAGAGAGGAGAAGGGAGATGTGGGAGAAAGATGGAGGGGGTGAATCTAATTATGATATATTGTAACCCCCATAGAAGCAATATATGCTAATAAATATATTTTTAATAAGACATTTGAATGAGAAACTTTCCCTGAATGAAACTCAAATCACGGTTGTACAGATACTATATTTTCCATGTATTTTTGAGAAACCTTTGCAATTTGTGTAAATTTTCAAATCAAGTATGTCATATTATTTTAGGATGTACTCAAAAAAAGTATGGCTATGAATTGGAAAAATTTTAATCTGCAAGTTTATTGCTTAGATAGGCATATCTAAACACTTCAGTATCAAAACGTTCTTCATTTCTATTGTATCATTTTTAGCACCCGAGGAGAAATTCATATAACGTAAAACTAAAACGTTTTTAAAGTTAAAAATGAATGTTTTTAAGCACATACCGGGTGCCGTCTATTGCATGTGAATTTGCAACACTGTTGGCTACATTTACAAATGTCATACCAAATGCATTTTCTCTAAACAGCTGTGACATGTTCACACAGGGAAAAATACATATTGTTCGGACTACAAGATAGTGTAATTTTGGAAAACTAATTTTCAAGCTATTTCCTCTTTGCCTCAATTTTTCAGACTATTCACTGCTTTATGGATTACTCTATTTCCCCAAATGTTATTTGTGTCCCTCTACTTATCTAAAGCATTACTTGAAATGATGCTACATGAACTTATCAAAAGAAAAGAGAGAAATAGTTTTGTAAGTAATATTTCCAATTGGACTTAATAGTTTTAGGTTTTATGAGGAATCTTACCCCAAATAAAGTAGCAGTTGATTTTAGAAAGGAGAAAACAAATAAAACATACAGTCTATAAAGTTAAAACAAAATTAATTTCAGAATTGTAACTATAAGATGCACATAGTACCAGAGGTGGAGAAGTCAGAGATCACATAGCTCAAACACCCATTTGAGAAATGAGGAAAATCAGACCCAGCACGGTGAGTGACTTGGATTCTGGTTAGCCTTCAGCTTCTCCCACTGTCCCAGTCAGTAACTTCAGAGTGACCTCAGGCTTATCCAGCTTCCCTTTAAAACACCAGTGATGACAAAAAAAAGTCTGGCCCACAATAAGGGAAGCTATGGTCAATAAATCACTGACTACAGTAGGAGTGTCTACTAGTCGTAAAGAACTTGGTATTGACTGGGGAAAATAAGCTGTAGCATCTCCTCTTCTGCTTCATGAACATGCATTATCACGACCACCTGAGATAAGCTGGGATGATGCTTCATCCTGCCTGACCATTCAGCCTCCTGATGCAGACAACTAGAATTTGTACCTATGCAGAAATGGGCAGCTACCTCTTTATTGAGGTAGCTTTGATGACTCCTATTCTGTGGGGTCAGGGAAGTCATTCTACTGAGAATGATCTGCAGATTTGACAGTAATGTTATAAAGTAGGTACTATAACTCTGTGCAAAAAGAAATTGCCAGATTTTAACCACACAGAGGTATTTCTCTGTGCATGACATAAATTCTTACTCAGATCTGATGCACACTTTCAGCAGCCTACATATTCCTGAGATAGACAGTTGAGTTTGGAAATCTACTTAGAATTGAAAATCTGGTCTGGGAATGAGCTGAATTGCTTTTGGGCATGGTCCTCTTCTTCCCAAACGTGTGGCTTCCTGCCTCTGTGTGGGTGTATTTTCACTCCACCCCATTCCTTTGAGTAGCAGTGAGCTTTCTTCAGGAGCAGCCAACACCTCCCAAGGGTTAATATCCTCTTGTCTCTGTCAAGCTTCCCATAGCAATTTAACTATGCTAGAAAATGAAGCTGAACTTAATTTTTCAAAAACAGAAGCATTGCAATAGGACATACATTTATCAATCTGTATATTTAATTTGTCACTTGGCTTATTCACTGTCTTTGTTTGTATCTGATACAAATGATTAAATGTGATGGAGAACTCCAGACCCTCAGGACATAGTCATTTTGGGGGACAGTGAATATTAAAAGA